TGAGCTAATACAGAAATGTTTTGCATGACTTCACATGTATAATCAGTATCATATTGCTTTCCTTCTCAATGGGTGGGGTGAGGGAAAGAGGGAGAGAGGAAATCAAAATTTTTAAAAAGTGAATGTTAAAATTTTTTTTACATATAATTGGGAAATATTTAATGAAATAAATTTTTTTTTAAAAAGTATTCATGACATATAAAGCTATAGGATTTCTTTCTGGGTAATCTATAAGACTCTACTTCCCAATTTATTTTTCTCTATCTTCTCCTGTATTCTCCTTTGCATTTAAGTATCAAGATTTGGAAAAGTTTCTCAAGTTCAAGCAATTTCCCTACTGCATACTCTGAAACAGATGTTGGTACATAAGCTGCAATTATTTTCCTGGTGGTGTTTTTGCTCATGCTAAGTATGCTCACTGCAAAGCAAGACAAACAACTGTCCCACGAAATGATGTTTTTTGTTGCCTCTGCATATACAATGAAATCCACTCTGCAACTCCTTTATTTTGCCTTTTCAAATTTAAAAGTGTTTTTACACAACTTATCATAAATACTGCTTGCAGACAATTTTCACAATAGCAGGTAAAACAGGAGGTAAATTAAATGGAAAATATAAGTAATTATAGTACAGTTTCCATCAGGCCAGGAGAAAAACAGTGAGTAACTAACCACAGGGGTGGGGAACCTGCAACCTTGAGGCCACATGTGGCCCTCTAGGTCTTCAAATGCAGTCCTTTGATTGAACCCAAACTTCACAGAACAAGGATTTGTGTGCCTCGAGGCAACAGGTTCCCCACCCCTGGACTAACATTCGATCCTGGAAGACAGCATATCAGAGTCTTTTAAACTTATATATCTGCTTAGGTTAACAGCAAACAGAAGACTGGCATTTCTTAACCAAACGCCCTACTATTAGTTAATTTCAGACAGGTCTTACTGAGCAGGTAAAATGTACCTTTTGCCTAATTCAATGCAAAAGGTTCAGTGTTCTTAGCTCTTATGAAATAGGCAGCCTCCTCTGGTACACCCGTCTTTCTGATATGTTTGTTTAAATGAATCCTTGGTATTTCAATGTAAAATGAGACCTATCTGCCATGTATGCCACATATTATCAAAGGAAAGTTTATTTTTCTGGGTGTACAGTTTTTAGTTTTAGTCTACTGCCAAAAGAAAAAGATATAACCATTAAATGTATTTTAATTTTTTTTTCCACAGGAAATTAGCTGTTAATATCACCTAGCACCTCTAATGAATTTCTCTTCAAATACACCATGCAGCAAAACTATATTACAATCCATGGGCCAACTGCCAACAACAAAATTTCAAGGCAACATCTGTCCTTTTAAGAGAGTCCAAAATTCTTAATGAAATTTAGAAACCTATACAAAAGTTAGATGGACATAGAATCCACCTCTAGAGTGAAACATTGCTGTTCAATTGCCATCAAGATTTCAAATGATATTTTCCACAGCAGAATTTACATAGTGGTTCTCAACAGACATTAAAAAGATCTAACACTGAAATGGATGTGTTTTTATACACAGTGTGAATTGAAACTCTTCCAACTTAGTGTCTAGCTGAAAAAAAGCAACTGAGCTCTGGTTACATCAAAGGTAGGGTTGAGACTTTTGTTTCAACGGAATAATCTTCATACAAACAACAGTGGCCTTGGTTGGCCTTTTTTTTTTTTTTTTGAATGATAAACTGAAATAATAAACAAGAGACTTTTGCCAAAGCAAATAAAAATCTCACCCTGGAAAGCTGTAGTACTTTTGTGATCTAGAGGTACTTCAATATCCTTATGCTGAAATTTGCATTTCACTGAAAAAAATCAAAGCCATTCACTTCCAGCTCACCTTTTCTTTTCTCATTTCACAACATTCAGATGCCTTCTACCACCATTTCCTCCTTCACAGCCTCCCTTCTCACACAAAGAGGTGACCCTATTCCATACATCAAGGAAACCCCCCCTACATATTCACAAGTGATCCCATTTCATTCCATCTCCAAGAGACTGCCCCCTGCTTTTCATCCCTTACTCCAATCTCCCTGTCTAATGGCTGCTTCCCAACTATCTACAAACACACCCATATCTCCTCTACCTTCAAAAAACCCTTGTTTGCTCCATTCATCCCCACTAATTAACATCTTATATCTGGTTAGTAGTTGGATAGCTGGTTAAGACAAGAACAAGGAGAGAACAGTGTCACAAAAACCAAGAAAGAGGAGAGGGAAGAAATAATCATTTATTAACACCTCTTTCATTTCAGTTGAAAATTTCATGATTTTTTCTTTAATTATTACAAAATATTTCTTGCAAATGTTGCCAGATAGACACAACAGTAAGTTCCTGTAGAGAGTTTTTAATAGGTAGAGGGGGAAAAGTTAAGAAGGAAAAATATTAAAAATAAATATTAGTAGGCAGATATTTAGAGCAGCTAGGTAGCATTGTAGATAGAGTGCTGGCCCTGGAGTCAAAAGGAGCTGAATTCAAATTTGGCCTCAGATACTTACTAGCTGTGTGACCCTGGGCAAGTCACTTAACTCTGTTGGACCTCCTTTTCCTCATCTGTAAAATGAACTGGAGAAGTGAACGGCAAACCACTCCAGTATTTTTGTCCACAAAGAGTCCAATATGACTGAAAAACTACTCAACAACAACAAAGGCAGAATATCTGTTTGGAAATATAGAACTGCAAATTCTTTAAGGGGAGGACATTTTTTTTGTGTCTTTGCATCCCCCAAAACTAGTAATAGTGCCTGGCACGTAGTAAGGAAAGAGACTGGACTCATGATTTCATTAGCATTGGAAATCATGCATAGAGGAAATATCCTAGACAACACCAACAGGCATTTTTTCTTCAACTTAGACACCTAAATACCAAGATTTAAATGTGATTTACTTAGGGTCACACAACCAGTATGTGGAAGAAATGAGTCTCGAACCCAGGTCTTCCTAACTGAAATGGGAAACAGTTTTGTTTTTTAAAATACTTGAAGCCACTTGTAGGAAATTTTATAAGCCATTCAGGGTTGCAAACAAGGGGTCAGGATTGCAACTCAATTGTAATTAAGTACATCCATATAAAAAACAAAAACTAAGAGATATATGGCAATTTGGAGCACAGTTAACAGCCACCCATGCACTTCAGTTTCTTTTTTCTTTTGGGGGGAATGAGGAACAATTAGGGTTAAGTGACTTGCCCAGGGTCACATAACTAGTAAGTATCTGAGGCCACATTTGAATTCAGGTCCTACTGACTCCCAGGCTAGTGCTCTATCCACTGCTCCACCTAGCTGTGCACTTCAGTTTCAACATGGAGTTACTTAAGAAATTTTTAGATCCTAGCTAGGTCTCAAGGCCTGGCTCAGAGGCACTCCTTTAAGGATGACAGGGAGTTACCTCAAGGGCCATCCGAGACTATCAAGAGATCCTAGATCTTCAGGAACTTTGCTGAACCTTATTTCTTCTCCCAGTGCTACAATGTGAGAATTTTTTTTGCCTCTTCAATTACAGATCCCCTTTTCTTCATCCTTGCCCCAAGGCATGGGTGGATTTTTGATGACTCAAACACCCAACTGTCCTCTGGTCTGACTTTTATTTTGTTACAGCTCTCACCCTCAACCCAACCCCCACCCCACCCCATCCAGCCAATTTCCCACTTGCACTCAGAAATGCTCCACAGGTAGCATAGCCAGGCTATCATCCAGGACCTGCCTCACATAGCTCTCTACTTACCATCTGGTAAAAGCTGCCAGTTCCCTAACTACTCCCCTATCCCTTATTAATCCTACAGTCCCAGGATCCCTTGGGCATGACAGCAATGTTGGAAGACATAACTGGCTTATCCCCCAGAGTAATCCAATCACAGAAAGATTAATTTGTTTGTATATTGGATGCGTGGTGTTCTCAAATCTTCAAAGTCGATTTTAAAAGTACAAGAATTTCAGTTATACAAACCAAGCAGCACCTGGGATGTACAAGAAACCACAGTTTATATCATACAAACCCCAAGCCAGCACAAATTTTAACCTGGTTCTGATTCTACCAATAATATATAATTTGCATAGGGTTTAAAAAAAAAAAGGTGGATTAATGGATTCCAACAGGTTTTCAAAGTTTATTACACCTCTTAAATCCATTCAGCAACTGGAAGATTGGATGTCCCCAAGGCTACTGGTGAATTATCTCCTTATTCTTAGAAGACATGCCTCCTATAACGCAATTTAAGACTACATTAGGCTTTCCATTAAAATCCTCAAATCTCTTACAGAAACACTGCTATATAACCATACTCCCCTATATTCTCCTTGTGAAGTCATTTTTTTTTAGCCTACAGGTAAACTTTACATTTGTCTCTATTAAATTTTATTTATTAGATTCAACCTGATACTCTTATTTGTCATGATCCTTTTATCCACTGTTTCTTTTATCCCTCCCTCTTTTTGTTACCTGCATAAACCTGGGTTGGCAGGGTTGATGGGTTTAGTCACAGTTAACCAGTCAGTGAACAAGCACTGATTAAGCTCTTATGTATCAGGCATTGTGCTAAGCAATACAAAAAAGGGCAAAAACACAGTTCTAGTGCAAGGATGTCATATTCTGATAGGAGAGACAACATGCCAACAACTATGTACGTACACAATGTACACATAACAAATGGGAGAAGGAACAAAGAGTAGGCAGGATGAGGAAGGCCTTTTGCAGAAAGCGGGATGTGAGTTGGGTCTTAAAGGAAGCCAGAGTAACCAGAAGGCAGAGGTGAAAAAGAAAAGCATTCTGCATATAACTACATCTACCACATTGCATCTTTCCTTCTGATCTTTGGTGATAAATGCCAGATTACCTATTCCATTTTATAGACTAATATTTTCTTTAAAATTCAATGAATGAGAAACAAAATCTAAGAAGGTTTATTTAGGACAAAATAAACTATTTCAGAGAGAAAGTACTACCTTTTCCAAAGAGACAAATAAAATAAAAACAATTATTCTTACCTTCTGATCATTGTTTTCTTGAAATAAAAGCCCAAAATAGTCCTTCTCCAGTAAATTGAGTTGTTCACATACTTTGTCAAATAGTACTTGACCTGTGGCCCGTTTCTGGAAAAGAAAAGAAAACACTTTTAGTGCTCTCTTACCTTTCTCATACAATGTTAATATTAACAAAAGTGTAAAGAGTAAGATTTTAAATGGATTAATAAAAAAATACTGAGTGCCAACACATTCATGCATTTTTGTTTTACTTAGGTGGCAAAATAGTTTGATTTTTTGAATCTTATTTCATATGCTGTTTAGCTCTGGGACCTGAAGCAAAGTCTCACTTACCTTCTTACGGCCCACAGTCTACACTTCTGTAAAATAGGGATTTATAGCACCAACTTCACAGGATGGTTGTGAAGACCAACTGAAGTAATACAGAATGTGCCAAAAGTCTTACTGCACTAAGACTTTTGGGACACTCTGTATACAGCAAGTATAATTACAAACTTTAAATCAATTTATAAATAGTGGGTGAGTTGAAAAGGGGGAGTAAGATCAGCCTGGACTGATTTCAGAAAACCAAAGAGCTCTTTTACTATGGAAAATCACATGAAAGCAAAGGCCTGCCCATCCCTGAAATGTTAATATTTTATGGTTGTTGTTCTATGGCTATGAAATATAAAATGCCAATGAAAGTCTCCAGAATGCCGGATGGACCTCTTATGACTAAATTTTAGTAGAACTAAGGGCACACTAAATGGGTTATGATCTGCCTGGCTGGGAAAGAACTTTTGAATTAATGAGATCACGGGTCCTCTTGAAGGCATTGGTTATTATTATCATCACTGATAATTATCATCAAGAAATCCCAAAGTTGAAAAAGTTCTCTGAGGTCAGCCAGTCTAGCCAAGCAATACCTGAACTGGGATCCCTTCTACATAGCCTGAAATGGTTAAATGGTCATCAATGGAAGGTTTCTAGCAAAGGGGAATCTAAAACTTCCCAAAACAGCCCATTCCACTTTAGCACTAATTAGTAGAATTTATTTCATTACATTAAATGTAAATCCTCTTTTCTTCAATTTCTAATTGTATAATTAAAGCTAATAAGAAGTCTACTAGCCTTTATGTATAGCAGCCTTTAAAATGCACGCAAAAGGCTATCACATCCCTCAGAGGCATCTCTTCTCTAAGCTTAGCATTCTCAGCTCCCATTTTCAGATCCTTTACTTGATTCTGAGAGTATGACCTTCAATTACCTCTCTGTCATGGTCCTGCCTCTCAATGCACTAGAGCTAGAGAAAATTCTTTCAAAAACATGGTACACAAATTGGAAGATAATCCTCCAGGTGTGGTCATTCCAGGACACAGTAGAGTTGGGATATGGCCCATATTTCACTTTTATTTCAGTTTTCATCATAAAACAAGACACAAATTCTGAGTACTGATGGACTTTTATACAACAAAAAATATGAAAAGGAAAAAAAATTAACGGAATATATTCCATTTTCTTGGTACCAGTTGTAGATCCCAAGAGAACTCATGAACAGAAGCACTAAAAGGAGTTTTTGGAGGAATTTAAGAGAGAGGTACTCAGGACAGAGATAAGCCCAAAGAGTTTCTTAACTCACTACCACCACCACCACCACCAAGTAAGTTATCCTGTGCTATAAAATACAAAGAAATTGGTACTCATGCTATATCCCCAGGGATATCTCTCCCCAACCCCTATCCTTTCAAAAACAAAACAAAATACTTTTGGACAATGTGACTCCAGAAGGAAGTCCATCAATATTCAGTGGACGTGGATGATTAATTTTGTTCCTTCATATTTACCGAATATAAAGATTTTTTTTTAGCCAGCTATATATAAACATCCCTTTAAAATTCCTGTTAAAACAATATACCACCTGTACTCATTCAAACAGGGCAAATTTATTGGGAATGGGGTATTACACTGTCTGCTTTTCAAGCATTTAATATACTCTTCATACACTTGTTGGCAAATAGGTTGTTTTATTTAAGCAGACTGCTATCAACAGGAACATAAATGCCTTTGACAACCATAGAAAAGCTTATTGTCCAATCATGACAGAACACAGTCAAAGGGGTAGCTCATTTCCAATTAAGATGTGTGCCCCCTGGGAACACCCAACAGAGAAGTAAAGCCAGACACACTCCTCCTTTTCGTTAATGAGTTTATGCAAACACTCTGCTGGGCTCCAAGAGGAAAAAGGAAAACAGCCTCCAGCCACTTTTTAAATGAGTGAGACCATCTCATCCAAGTATTCACAGTTTAGTACAATAAAGTTCAATATTTCCTAAACATATTACATTGGGGAAGAGCTGAAATATATTTCATTTTCTAATCTCACAGAACTTCAAGTTAAGTGCAGCTGGTAGTTTATCTCATTTGGCAATTTTGGCCTGTCTCTCCCTTTAAAAAAAAACAAAAAAACAAAAAACAAAAAGGCTGTGCCTTATTTTGGTCAGAGGTTAAAAATTAATGCCTAGAAGCCCTGAGAGAAAAATATTGGATATTTCCGTCTTTCCATCAGTCTTTGATGATGACACTTAAATATGCATCAGAATCTTTTGTAAACAAGAGAAGAACGCCCTATTAGGCAATTTTAGTCATGTACTACAGTAATCACTCACAAGAGATGATGATTTAAATGTATCATAAGACTTATATTGGAAGAGCACAATATACATCCATATGTATATTAGGACATATTCTGTCTATGTGTGCATTTAAATACATACACCATTGAGATTATAAATTAATTTCAAGTAGGCCAAATGGCTGGTAAATTCCAACCACCAGCAGCCTCTTGGTGCAAGTCTCCCAACTTGAAGAAAAGCAATTAATTATAAACATATTTCCAGTTTTTATGTAACTTACAAATTGACATGATTAAAATGAGAGGTCAAATGGCATAATGGACAGAATGCTTGGCTTGGAATCAGGAAAACCTGGGCTTGAATGTCTCCTCTGACCTGAATAATTACATAACTTTGGTCACAAGCCATATAACTTCCAGGTGCTTCTAGAAACTCTCAATGATCTACTTACCATGTTACAGGGGGTAGGATGTACAAGTTAGCTCAACAAGGTATTCTCTAACTATGCTGAGATGCCTTCCACATTCATATGTGATTGAAACACTTTCTGGCTTACAAAATATATTAATTTAATTTTAAGGAGTGGAGATGATTATTTAAAAAAAAATTCATCCTCTCTCAAATATTTGGTAAGATCCCTCTTTTATACATTTCAAGAGGAGACCAGGGAGTTCCTACAAATAGCAATGAGGTATAAAAAAAAAAAATTCAATAAACCACCTACATCCTTGTCACACATTAACATCAATTATAATAAAGCACACTACAAGTACTGTACCATGTAAAAGGGATCATTGTTCACTTTCTGCATTCCAGGCAACCAAGAAATTCTTCTTTACTAATAGATTATTACAGCTCCTGTCTCAATTACATGTTTAGGATTCATCCCTGGAGGTATTTTTAAGAAATTTAAGGACCCAGTTTTATTGGTATGGGGAACCTAAAGGGTCAAGTAATTATGTGTCTTTTAAGAAGATGCCAAGTATTCTTTCACAAAAAGTATTCAAAGCTAAAGGTTTTGTCCAAGCCCTTCATTTTACATATGAGGAAACTGAGGCCAAGGAGGTTAAGTAATTTGTCCAAGGTCACACATGCAGCGTCTGTTGAAAGTTTTGAAGTCAAGTCCTCTGACTCCAGAACCAGAGCCAATTAATTATTTGCCAAGAATTTCTGAGGGAAACATGCAAATTACAACCATCAGAAACAGAGGAAATTTATGGTTCTAGAAAACAACTATAATTAGAGGGAAAATCAAGTCAATAAGCATTTATTTATCTGTGCTAAGCACTGGGGGTAAAAAGAAAAACAAAAACAAAAACAAAAACAGCCCCTCTCTCAAGGTGATAATGTAGTTAGTAATTAAGTCATAGACAGATAAACAAGCAAACACATAAATGGAGTCATGAATAAATAATAATAGCTATTAACATTTATGTAGCTGGGAGGAAGCGACTGATTCATCTTAGAATTTGCAAGAAAAGAGAAAGAAAGCCAGTATGACACACACCCTATATTTTGGTGAGAATAGATTTCAGCTGGTTCAGAGAAAGACTAGCCCCATGGACTAAAATTCTACAGGGGAATAAGTTGGTATAAGACAGTTACAGGATGATCTCAAGGAAAATTCTGATAAAAAAGAAAAAAAAGGGATGATACAGAGACTGATGTTAGTGGGAAAGGAACTCATCATTCAATTCATATTAAAAACAAAACCAAAAACCATTTGAAGATGTATATATCAGTGACAAGTACAAGATGGAGGAGCCACGTCAAGGCATCAGTTTGTGTGAAGAAAAGTTCAGGTGTTTTAGTGGATTACAAGGTGAATACTTGCTAATGGCATGAGAAAACAACCCAAAATTAACTTGGCACTTGTTATGAAGATGACCCCAGACTCAGTTGCGAAGACTGGTGTCTCTCAAAGACTTTTTATTAAAGGGATTGAAGTGTGTCCTTTTGATTCTCGAAAGAAGCAGGCACAACTCCTTAGAAGGGGAGAATTGCTCGAGTAAAAGAAGCCAGAGCAAGTTTTAGAGTTAGCAATTGCCTAACTCCTCTCTTCTGGATCAGGATTGGTCCTAATCCTTCTGGGTTACAATCTTCCTTATATGCCCCACCCTTGACATATATTATGTGCCCAGAATTGTGTTATCACTTCCCCCCCCCCACCTTGACAGAGAAGTTAGCCTGTCTGCGCTGATTTCTTATTTACTTATGTGGAAACTTAACTCTTTCATTTCTCACAGCACTAATGAAGGGATAGTGTCCATAACATGAAAGGTGACAGTACCACTTTGTTCCATCTTAGGCAGATAACATCTGTATTATATCAAATTGTATTACAGTATATTCAGTTACAGGTACCATATTTTAGAAAAGATACTAACAGAATGATGCTTAATAAGTATTGGTTGAACTGATTTAAAAAAAAAAAACAAAACAACATTACTGCATGCTGGGTACATCAACAGTCCCTGATTTCATCGGTAGGGAATA